CTGAAAAGTAAATTCAGAGGTCAGTAATTCTTCTAGGTCGTTTAAATAGAAAACAGAAATCAAACTATAGTGATGACAAGTGATCTTCTATTTAGAGCAGAAGCTAGTTTAAGAACAAAATGGAAGAAAATAACTTCCCTCTCTCCAAATATCAACACGGACTTGGAAAACTATCAATCTATCTCCTAGTGTTTACTTTCTCCAGTGCTAAAAAGGTCTAAATTACAACAGACAGCTTTCTGACTCAGAGCTTTAGACTAGCCAGCTGCTAACTTCTATTTTATAAGGCAAAGTGCTGCTTAAATCCTGACTATGCTGGGCTGGCAATTTTCTAGTGTGAGGTCTAGACTTGTTACAGTAGTATAAGTGATTTTGGACCTTTTATTCACATAATTCACCTCAATAGTTTTAATACTCTTATTAAATGCAATTATTCTGTCAGAGTAAATATTTTAGATACCATTACCTGAATACAGATACTGCATTTAGAATGTCTTGTTAGTTTGCTGTATGGCTATACAACCTCTCCTGCTCCTGCTCAGAGTGCTGTCCTCATAAAACCCTCTGCACTGAAAAGAACCTATTTCTTCCCCTTGCTTTTGCACAGAGAAGCCCTTGCTGGTTGAACAACTGGATCAACCTCAGAGAAACAACCTCAAGCTGGTAGTCCCTTTGAAATAAAACCAAGCAGCAACAGTCTTCTACGACTGACTATGAATTTTTACAGAAGCACCTTCCTTACTGTGTTTAAAAGCTCACAGCAGCTGCAGTGGCAGTTTTGCTAGTAACTCATTGAAGGGATTGTATCCAAAAAATATCCATTTGCTATTTGGAAGATTGCCCCAGCAGCTGTTCTGCCCCAGCACTGAAATTAAGTAGTGTGGGTAACCGAGGTTCGCAGGACAGACAGTGTACCTCCCACATCAGAAAGCCTATTAACGTAGCTTTGCCCCACATACTTCTACCAGGTTAAAAAGTGTCTTTGCATCAGCTTACCCACACAGAAATCTGGGGGTGTTGTGTGGCTTAACCAAAGAACGGGAGTTATCCAGGAGGAAAAAATGCCCCCCTGGGCTGATGGAGGTGCTCTGGGGCTGCCCCCACTGATGGAGGCCTCTTCCCCATCGGACCTGCCTGCAGAGTTCTGCATTGGATCAGGCTCCTTCAGGGAGGCTTAAAAAAACTACCACTTTAACTCAGCTGGGAGATTTTTTTTGACTGAATAGTAAAAAAAATTATTATGTTAATGCTTTTGCTTGAAGATCTCAGTGTAAGAGGTTGGAGACCACAGAGAAGTGAAAAGCAGCTGGAGGCATTAACTTCTTTCCTCATCTCCTGAGGTTTTTCAGCTGCTCGTGTGCCTACTCATTCATGTCAGAGCAGAGTCAAAACCTGAATACCCACTCGCAGCTCAGATCTTAATCCCCTCAGGCACAGTGCTCCTCACACAAGCTGAAAACGCCATCAGCGTGGCGAGTATTTATTTCAGCACCTCAGAGCTTCCCACATCCACTCTCAGTCCTTGTTTATCAGAACAAACAGAAGCCTCGTGGTGGGGTCATGATATTTCCCTGAGATCAAAAGCACAGGTAGCAACAGCACCAGTGAATCTCTGCAGATAGGCAGTCAAGCCCTCGGTAGGAAAAGGGTAGGGTTTTTAAAAACCTAAACACTGCCTTAACTGCCCTCAAAAAGCAATGAGCTGCAAATCTGTATTTAATTTCAGAGCATTGTTCAGTATGTGTGCAAGGAAGACCAAGGGTAAACACCTTTGAAAACGCAACTCAACATTTATGTCTGCTGTATTGTAACTATCTTGTGAACAAATTTATCCCTATAGTATATTTTCACTTTACCTGCAAGGCTGACATTGGGACATCCACTGTCTCTCCTCTGAATCTGATAGTACTCCCACAGAGAATTAATAAATATGGATGACTCATACATTTTAGGAGTTCAGTGGACCTCTGTAAATCCACACTCCCTTGGTAATCTCAGACATACAGCCATTCTTCACTGTGACAGCAACCTATGAAAGCAGCTGTGAAAATCTGAGATAACAACCCTGTAGGATAGGAAGGAGGTAGCTGAAACTTTGCACATAATTTATGGCTGATGTTATTTGTTTGGATTTTTGCCAGGCATATTTATATCATAAAACGTATTTTATTTGTTTGATTTGAAGTAGTCACTCTGCATTATTTGGAAAACTTCAGCCTCTGCTGAAGAAAACTATGAAGCCTCTACTTAACTTCCCCTAACCCTTCTACTATCAGAAACAGAAAAAAAACCAAAACCCCAAACCCATAAATTTTATGACCTGTGAATGGAGATTTTTTGCAACACTCACAAATAATATACAAATAGACAGAAGGCAATCATTCAAAAAGGAAATATTTCAGTGATTAAAAAGTATGTGCTATAGTAATCAGATACATTTGATTTAGGTCAGAGTGAGAAATAAAAGACCACATGTGTAATGTTTTCCAGGTATATTTGAGTATTTATCATTTTGTTTAGTAGCTGACCAACCTATTGCAGGGGAGAGGGACATTACTGCAAATAATAGAATAAGGCATAGGTAACACACAAGTTCCCTAAACCAGCTCAAGGCACACGTATTTCATAGCTGCAGCCATCTGAATAGTATAAGACAGAAACTCTGAAGGCCTGCCCAACACTAAGAAGCTGATTTCACTTTAGCATTTCCAGTCAATAGCTTTAAGACGTAAAACTGCAGAAGCAGCTGGAAGTAACTTGTCTTGCCAGGCTGCTGGCTTGACTCCTTTCGGATTCACCATTGTCTATGTTTTTATTGCCTACATATTTCACTGGCCTGAACGAATCAGTTGGGAAGGGGGAATGAAGAGAAATTACCAGGCTTTCTGGAAAAACACTCAAGTTCAGATACACTGTGCTCTGCATAAACATTTAGTAAGCCAGTCACACTATTCCTGACACAGGCCAGGATGTTGTTGCCCTCCTTGGCCATCTGGGCACACTGCTGTCCTTTCCACTCTCTTTTCACCACAATAAATTAGAAACCTGTGGAGCAACATCAAACACCCAGGTATCAGCCCCAAGGGGAAGCTCAGTACACAAACTAGATCTCCTAATGCTCTATACCCCATGCCCGTGCAATGTTGTCCATCTGATCCAAGTAGAGACACTCAGCTAAAGCTACCCCATAACAAATGCTGAGAAAACTTTAATCTAAAAACCTCATTCCTCTACATAACTTGGGTCATGGCTACATAAAATGTTTCTTGGTCTGCTTTGAATATATTTAGAAGAGGAAGCTAACGAGGAAGCAGCAGGACGGAGCACTGGTCCTGACCCCAAGGGGCACAATGCGGCCCTATACATCATGTTGTGTCCTATTAACCGCCCAAACAGGACAGCCACGCACAAGCTGCTCAGGGGCAAAAGATTCCAGCCCCTGCTAAATACTGATTCATGTCAAAATCATATAATATCTGAGAACATAACTGCTCCAATGCCTGCGACTGCACTGATACAGTCTCACACCTGGCACGAAGGCGCCTTCCAGACACTTGTTTGCTTGATGTGCAGGTTACTTCACTTCCTTTGCACTGTGAAAGACTAGAGGGAAAGTCCTGTGAGGAGAGGCTGAGGGAGCTGGGGGTGTTTAGCCTGGAGGAGACTCAGGGGGGGACCTTATCACTCTCTACGACTGCTTGAAGGGAGGGTGTAGTCAGGTGGGGGTCAGGCTCTTCTCCCGGGCAACCAGTGACAGGACGAGAGGGCACGGCCTGAAATTGCGTCAGGGGAGGTTCAGGTTGGATCTCAGGCAGCCATTCCTCATGGAGAGGGTGCTCAGGCACTGGGATGAACTGCCCAGGGAAGTGGTGGACTCACCGTCCCTGGAAGGGTTTGAGGAGAGGCTGGATGTGGCACTTAGTGCCGTGGTCTGGCTGATGTGGTGGTGCTGGATCATAGGCTGGACTTGATGATCTCAGAGGTCTTTTCCAGCCTCAACAATTCCGTGATTCTGTGATTGGGCTCATGCTTTTACTCCTACCCTAATACACAGAAACATGGTAACACGGTGGCCTTCTGTTCACTGAATGACATATTCAGGTTTCGATCATTTCGATCATTTACCAAGATTTTACCACTGCATGCTGGTTAGATGTGTTGTGAGCAGGTCTGCTAGAGAAAGTCTCTTAGCATGGTTTCCAGAACCTAAACGTGTTTGGTCTTAAGCGGGTCATCTCCCCAGGCAATGACAATTCCATATAGAGACCAGACTAAAACACCAGACATGTAGGAAGCCACAAATAGGACAAATCACATCTATTTTTACTCATGTAAGCTAGTCTAACTTTGGTGAGAAAAACGACCTTCAGGAGATACCTTCTGTTTTTCCATTGCAGGGGAAGTTTGAATTGTTAACTTAGCTAAGATGCTTAACTTATAGACACATGAGGACAGGTGAACTGAATTTTACTCTCCCAGTCTTCAAACTATCTATGCATTTAAAATATATAATTAAAACACATAAAATGCCCCTAAAAGCCATAGGGCAAGCACTTAAATGGTTGGTTGCATGGAACTCTAATTTTAAACAGGCGTATTCTGAGGAACTCATCATAGCAAAGCAATTAAGGATGTGCCTAGATACTTTTAAACTGGTATTACATATTCTTTGCTACATCATACCATTGCACTATGGTGCAAATATAATCATGTATTCTTGTCACCAGGTGTAGGGTTTGCAGGAAGTGACACAGCTGAAATACTCCTGAATGTGCCTCACAAAATCAAACAGGACCTGTACATAAGCAGTGCAGACCAAGCTCCTGCCCAATTCCTCCCCTCCTATGTTTTTCATTGTGAACATGCATATATTGCCAAATAAAAAAAAAAACTGAGCACATTTATTCTATGCTTTTACAACTTAAAGTCCTTTAAAAATATCATTAGTCAACCTTAATATGTGACTTTTCTTACATTTTCGAATGGTTTTGAAAACTTACCCATATAGGGTTTTGTGCCAGCCATAGAAGAAGCTTTTTCTGAGCCTTTCACTATGGTTGCTATGTTAAAGTCAGTGATATGAACATGTCCTGCAATTACACAAAGTAAAAAGAAAAGTTAAAATAACACATCACAAAAATGTTCCCCTATTTGTTTAACTTTTAAGAGATAACAGGAATTAAATCAGAGAGATTCATAACAATTCATGAAAACTTAGAATTTAACGTTACTTATAAGTAGAAAAAACATACTGGTAACAAAGTGATGGAATGATTTTCTTCTGTGTTGCATCCACTACCTACTTGCATTGCTGAACCTTCTCCTGCCATGAATGTTAAGGACAGTAACTGTCTTCTCAGAGCAGTAATGTGCCGAAACAGCAGGTAACAGCTCCCAAATGATCACTTATTTGACAGCAAGTTGCATGATGAAGGTAAGTGGCAAAGGTCCACCTGGGGACTTACTGCCTTACCAGCCAGACAGCTGATTCAAACTTAACTAATCAGGCTGGATGGCCCAAACCTGCTGTCATTACTTTTTACCTGGGGTAGTTTACGATAAGCACAGGTTAAATTGCTCCTTAGTGAAGCAACAGTTGTTAATCTTGGCTTGCTGTGAGTGAGTGGGTAAACTGACTATAAATCTAGGCTGAAAATCTGAAGGCTATCAGTGTGATAAGTCTGCTATTAGGTTTTGCATTTCTGTTTTATACTGTGGAGTGATGCAGGTATTATGTTCTCTGTGATTACATATGGTGCCATTGTGGAGGACAGAGTAAAGGGAAAAGTACTCCCTTCCCCGGCTTAACCCTGCACTCAGATCAGGATTAATTTATCATGTGTTGAACTAGAATCTTGAGTGATAGATTCCTGATAGACAGATTTTTTTTAATCAAGATCTCAACCTCATTCAGTCCACAGAATCGAACAGGCTTTGGGCATGATGCAGTTACTAAGTGGGGGAGGCTGTTATCGTGTTTGATGTCAAAGATGAAAAGAGTGTTACAAACCACTGATGCTGGACGTTATCGTGGTGCCTGACAGAAGACCTGCAGTCTCAGCAAAAGATCATGCTTGCTGTTCCAGTGTCTAACCTAGAGTCTGCTCAAAGTCCGTAGGAAAAGTATCTGCCAGCCTCTCTAGCAAGTCTGCAGCTACACATTTGCGTACTGAAATTCTCAGAGGCCCCTAATTTGGCCTGATCTGAGCTGGTTTTGAAGGGAAAAAGGAAGAAGGCACATCCCACTGCTAAACTTTAAACTATGTTTCCAAATCCAAGACTCAGTAGAACACTTTGATGAAATAGTTTGCCTGCTTTCTGCACTTTTCTCAGAAAATCTGCTTCCATTTTACTGATTCTTTCCTCCTAAGATACCCAGCCCAGGAAGACATCTGCACAAAGCAGACAAAACCCGCAAGCAGAAGAAAGTGATTGCTTTGTAGGGGGCAGGAGGTACTAGGCTGTCATAACCAGGACTAGTGTCAACAGCCCAGCCTGCCATCACATTTCAAGGCGGTATCCATACTTCCTAGTGGCTGGACTGTAGCGTGTTCACAGTTTATTTCTGCAATAATAAAACACTGTGTCAGAAATCTTCTTGAAAATGATAATTGAACCACATACAGCCACCTCATGGCAGTAGTTTTAAGCAGTTCTGTGTACACTGTAGGATGAAAAGCTGCAAGGATCTTGGCAAACTAATACCTCCTCTGTTTTTTTACAGATAAATATAAAGTTCTGTCATTTAAACGACAGTATAATAAGTGATGTTCCCTATTAGAGTGCCAGCATGATAGACTGTTGCAAAACACCTATCGCATAAGATCCATTCAGACTGATCCAATAGTTAATTTGCAATGAAAATTGCCTCTCCTGCAGTGCATTGTTTTCTCTCCCTTTGATTAGACTTCATTTAACAAAATCAAAATAGCACACACGAAATGTTGTATACACTGGCTGATATTTTTTGTTAAAAATGCGTTTCTGCAAGGTAAGAGATAGATTGGGAAAGTAACTTCTGCATCCTGCTGCTGATGCAGCAGTGATGGGCAGCTCCTGTGCAGGTAGCAGGGCACTGCTGATGGCGGAGGAGGGCTAGAGTGATGTCGAGGCAGATTTCTGCCTGCCTGCTCATGCCACTGAATTATTTCAACTCTTTTAAGACTATGACTTGTTTTGTTTGGTTGTGAGGCTTTCTAAAGTTTTTCATTCCTGGTGTGGCTATTTCAAGAAACAGAGTCTAGTTCTGTATAGGAGTCTTTCTAATCACCCTCTAAGACATCTTCTAACTGCAACTGTTGCATAAAGCAAAAAGAAAGGTTGCTAATGCTGCAGTAAACATACTGGGTTACTAGCTGCTTCATACTGTTTCCAAAATTTCAGGACTTTTTCTCATCTGAGCTCCACACTTCATATTTGATGTCCTTTTCTTCATATTATTGTGAACAAATGAATGTCAAAATGAAGTCTGTACCCTGGTACAACACTGAGCTAAGCAGTATGTCAGTGCCACTTGGGTTTTGCAGAGTACAAAAGACTCAGCAGTACCCCATAAGATAATAAAATTATGGTGGAGTGGAGGGAAGAAAAGGCAAAAAACCACATTGCCTGGGCTCTCTGCAGAGTGGCTTTTTCAAATCATCGCAGACTGCACAAATTTCATGTGGGCCAACATGTACACTGCAAGCAGAAAGAATGTCAGCAGAAATTATTTCAAAATTTGCATTCCTCCTGTCAGTTGCCAGTTAAGGATTTAACAGGGGAAATTTCTATGTTCATACCTACACCACAGTATATGACTTCAGGAAGCTTTACACATGCACTTCACAAGTGCTCTGTGGCTTTTATACCTTATTTTTCCACATGGCCTGAAATCTCAGTATCTGAGGTAATCAGCAAATGATCTTCATTTGGACTATTATTTAATTTTTGAATAAGTCATAATGAAAATTAAAACAAGTTCTGAAATGTGGCTGAAGATGGCTGAGTAACATTTAGTAGAGGAAGATGTACATATCTTCAAACCTCATTGAATTTCCCAGAGTCTGAAGCCATAGTGGTGAATGTGAGGGCAGAGAGAAGAAATACCAGACTGGAGTTAATGCCACTGCCTCAGCACGCATCAGAGCTGATTGGAAACCTCAACACAGTAACATTTTGGAGCAAATTCAGATTAGGTTTGCGTTTAGAAGGTACTATGTACAAGAATGTAAGCTTATATCCATGTGAAGTTGGCGTGCCTTGCCAGTCTGCCTCTTATCATCAAGGAGATTGTTAGAAAACTTATTGTATTGCTATAAATGGTTTTAGCGAGGCTGTGCATTTCAAAAAGGTAGGCATGCAAAAGTTTCAGATATATTTTCAAGGTGTAGATAGCTTCAGGTGGATGAAATGTGCTGAGAAAACATTCATCTTATTAATCAATGTGGGAGGGCTAAATGAGATACAATCCCTGAAAATTGTCTGTTGGTATGATAAGGAGTAGCCCTATTGCAGACATACCAGTTACATCTTTAGTGGAGATTTTATATCTCCCAGAGGTCACCATAGAGTTATAATGTTCCCAGTTCTGTTGTTCAGAAATTAATATCAGAGTTAGAAATACTGAATTTATGGGTAGGGTTTTTCATCCTATTTTTGGTTTTAAGACCAAGATTTCTTATTGGCTGCATCTTTCGCTTTTGCTATTAGCTTTCAAATGAGAGCTGAGATTGTCATGGAATCAAGGAAATAGAGTTTTAAGGAAAACTTTGATGATTATAAAACAATATAATCAGATACAGTAAGATACATATAAGTGCCATCTTACATCTGCCTCGCTCTCTTGTAAATGATCACTGAGCAAAATTATCAGTAACAGATGCAAAAATACAGTCTAAAAAAATCCCCAAACCTAATAAAATATAATTAGTGCTGTTAAGTCTAAGAGTTAGATATTAGTTCTGTGATTTCAATAACCACCAGAACAGTTCCAAGATGAGAAGTTGGAGGCATTCAGTGCAATTAGCAGGTAGAACCTTCAAAACAAACAGGCAGTGAGTCCTCTCATTATCTGTGTTTAAACTAAGGACCACTTTGCCATGAGATGTAGGGGATGCTAAAAGTTCCTTGCACTCAAGGAAGCATCAGAAAAGACCAGAAGTACTATGAAAACTTGTCTCATTTTACATCCTGCTCTGATATTCACTTTTTGGAGAATGTTGGAGAAAAGAAACTAAATTAGATGTATATTTGATCGAGTATAGTTGTTCTTTAGCTCTGAAACCGAAAGTTTGCGTATCTGTAACATTATCTATGGCAAGAAAGAGGGACAAAAAGACCAGAGCAATGCTTTTTAAGGAGAAATCTAAAAGGCTGAGGTTCTTCAGCCGACAGGACAGTGGAGAAACAGTTTCTGAATATCATGAAGATTGTGATTATTAGCTATTAGTCACCAAATCCTGCAATTCCAGAAGTAGAAGAGATTTTTTTTTTTTAAAGTATATAAAAGAAAACACTTTTCTTTCATGAAAGATGATGAGATTCTACAACTTATTGCTCCAGGAGGTTGCAGAGGCCAATATCAGCAATATTCTTCAAAGAGGTAGTAGAGAAACTTATTAAAAAATATTCATCCAGATTGTAAATGGAATATACAGAGATTTTCTAATATTCTAATACAAAAATTGTAGGTGACAGTAAGCACTGAAGCATTTGATGACCAAGTGGCGAATGGGAGGCTCCATGAATGGAATCTCCTCTTGCCACTGGTTGCAAGAGAATACCAGCCAAGGTCTTGGGTCTGACCCACCAGGGAAGTTTTTCCTCAGTAAATCAAGCAGGGACCTTGCTTGGTCTTATGAAACAATGTCCTGAAAAACTTTCCTGAGAGGAAATCAAATTCTTGCAAATTGTAAACAAAATGTGAAAATGATGTGGTCGCTCTGCACAATGCAAATCCTGGATGCCAAAGTACGGCCTCATAATTTCTGCAGAACAACCAGAAATGCTAATATCAGTTGTGCTACCAAATAGGTAATAGTGTCATCATCTTAAAAAAAAAAAGAAAAAAGCAGCACTGTACTAGTCTATTTGACACTGCTTGTTTTTCTGCATTTTCTGCATCTCCTTAGACATCGTAGCTAATAGATTATGGCAAGATTTAAAGACATTGTCAATTTCTTTGGTATTTCAGAAGAAATGCAACATGAATCAGACTTGCCAGCTTTCAGTTCTGAATGCTATCATTTCAGTTATATTGTTCTAAATGAAAGGAATAGTAGGGGAAATAGAATGCTGTTATTAGCATAACTCTATAACACTTTTCTCTGTACAATACAATAATAATAGCTCTCCTGAACCATCAGCTATCACTGGAATAATTCTGTATTAAATGCATGTTAGCAGAACAGAGCACCATTGCTAAATTTAGAGGTTAGTGTTAAGTTGTACAAGGAAGAGCTTTCCGGGAAAGCTGAGAAGGCAATGTAACAAAAGAGCTCTATGGAGAACATACATTTCCTTAGAGAGGTCTGATTCCATTTTAGAGAGTGAACCTTGAAACCATCCCCACTTTCTCTTTTCAGAGACTCTTCTGTGGGTTGGAAAATCTCTCCAGGAGACCAGGAAATTGTCTTCTGGTAGGGGCTGACACTATCTTAGGCAGCTGATTACCCTGTTTTCATGTAACATTACATTTCTCATGATTATCAAACATTTATTTCCACTACTGCATTAGAACCTGCACTCAGCAGTGTTGAGAGGTGGCTTTGTTGAAAAGTATATGGGAAAATTCAGGCTTCCTCTGCCAGAATGATTTTGTATATGCTATATCCATTTTTGCAGGTTTCTGATTTGTAAATTAGATTGATCATTTTTATGGGTTAAGAATAATCTCATTTTTCAGTACTTCTGTATTCCTGAATTATGCTCCCTAAGCCATATAGATATATTGCACTGAAACTATTTTTAATGAGCAGAAATACCTATAATCTATAATCTTGTTATATATTGTGAAAGAAAGTCAGTTTAAGTGCTTGGAGATGTAAGGCAATATGAAGTAAAGTTACACTTTGACTTCAGCCAAAATATTTCTTTTTTCAGTGAGATCAAAGAAATACAACTCACTGAGACTAACTCTCAGTCCCAGATGTTGTGCATATCTAATTCCATAATGATTTGTGTAAATGCAGTTTGCTTGATGAACTGTAATAAAGACCTAGGGGTAAAGTCAAGCATGTACGACACTGTTGTGCCATCTTACAGGTCACAGGCTAAACCAAAGTTCCTTCCTGTGCACCTGGCTAGACTCATATTAGGTGAATTTGTTATGCTTCCTCCACAGCCTACCATATGTATGGTGCACGGTTTCCCATTAAGTAAAATCTGATGATTCTTTAAAAACGATGTTAAAATGTAGCAGCTTAATCAAAGCTTTTATGGACTTCAAGGACAGCATTCGTCTTGCAAAATGTACGTCTCTAAGGTGGATATCTCTATCGAAAATTTCCAGGTATTAGTCACCAAAGAGAAATAGATAATGATGTATAGTGCAGACATCCAAAATAGATCAGATGATCTGAAACGCGTCTATGTCCTCCAGTTATCTGTAAAGGAAACCTGTGGTGACAAGCACACTACAGACACCTGTCTGACTGATGGCACCTCGTTTAGTGAGTTGAAGTGTGTGGACCCTTATCCACCTCCCAGCCACACAGCAAGTCTGTGAACCAGTTGGTTAATTCTGCTGACCTAGGTCTGTCTGCAAGTCTGGAGGAGTATGGTTGTTTCACCACTGGTCTGCAGGTGTGCTATGAGGGAGCTGTATTATGCTGCTTTGTAGAAGAAGATCTGTCCCAAAATTTCTCTGCTGGCTACAGATAATTTTGTTGCTGATTGGCTTATAATCACCTAAAAAAAATCATTTTGCAGCATATTGCTCACTCTGGTGCAGCTTCTTGTCTACAATATTTGACCCCCCATAGGAAAGCTCTTGCAAGAAGCTGATTTGGTGCAGTAATTGACCTTGATGAGGAGCAAGGAGAGATAAGGGCAATCATACATCAAAGGCTGTCAATCAGGAATTTAACACACTCATAGTCATTTCATGTTGTGTTTGACATCTTTAATTCACCCAGGACTTAAAGACAAGAGATTTCTATTTCATGCTTATTTGCTGATATTAGTGTCCAGGGAACATTAACACTTATGGGTCTGAAACATTAAACTCCTGAAGTTGTAGATGCTTTAAAACTCCAGCATTATTTAGTTTTACTATCATCAACATTCCCAGGAGCAAACTCCAGCTGTTTACGATGTTACTTCTTTAATTAACTTTAACTTGTATACCCAGCAGCTCTGCAATTTATTTTGAAAGATAACGATAATGTTGGCATCATTTCAAGTTTATAAATTATCAGAGATTAACTGATTTTAATCAGTTTCTGAGGTGAACAAAGCACATCAAGACTTTCGCACAGTACCAAGCGCATATCTCCTTTCTTCATTTAGTCTTCCTCCTGTACATATTTCTGTTCTTCCTCCTGTACATATTTCTGTTCTAACTGATACATAATTAATGCCTTCTTTACCTGTGTTTTCTCATGTTCTTCCTATGAGTAGCTGCAAAAAGATGCATGAGGTTTTAGCAAAATAATTTCAGATACCTACATGAGAAATAATTTACTATATGAAATTTCTTAACCCTTCAGAAGTTCTAAAAGAGAAAATAAGTGCTTGACACTGTTCCACTGGTAAGTCCCTAAAAAGGGATTATGGTGATTCACAGTAATTCTGTTAATAAAATATGAATTTCTTTTTATCAGGTGTCCCTGGTGATCTCAATCATATTAAATTCCTACTTCTTCAGGTCTTACAAATGTCAGATTAGCACGTATTTTTGCAGTAGGAGGGGAAGTTACAAAATCTACAAGGAGGACAGAGTGACTTTGCAAAGGAAGTCCAGATTTACATAGAAATTTGACATCTGGGGTTGATTTATGAAGCATGTGATGGGCACGTCATTGAGATCTCAAGAATAAGAGGTATCTGAGAGAAAGCAGTCAATATTCACTTACCATGCTCATCTAGTAGTATGTTGTCAGGTTTGATGTCCCTGTAAAATAAGGAAAAGAATGCATTACATTTCATACCCAAAGAAAACTTGCAAGGGGGCAGGTTATCTCAGTCGGTTGAGCATGGTGCTGATAACACCAAGGTCGCAGGTTCGATTCTTGTTTCGTGCCCACGTGTTGCCGATCTAGTCGAGAGGTGGCGTCCCTGCCCATGACAGGGAGTTTGGATTAAATGATCTCTAAGGTCCCTTCCAGCCTAGGCCATTTTATGATTCTATGATTTTAATTTTCCCCATCTGGATATGAGGGCCAAGTCACTTAAATCATTACAAAACTAATGGAACTCATATTATATATAACGGCAAATGATTTTTATCTACATCTTTTTTTCAGCCTTGAGAAAACATGCATAATAAAGAGGATCTCTAGGTTTCCATTTCTTGTGGGTTTGTTTTCATATGGTTAGCATTGACATGGATTTGCTTTTCAAGTTTATGCACTTTCTTAGCCATCATATTTGAGAGGCCCTGGTAGTCTGGCAAAGTTCCCACAGATTGGAAAAGGGGGAAGATAACCTCCATCTTTAAAAAAGGAACCAAAGACAATCCAGGAAACTACAGACCAGTCAGCCTCACCTCTGTGCCAGGTAAAATCAGGGAACAGATCCTCCAGGTAGCTGTACTAAAGCACATAAAAAATAATCAAGTTGTTGGTGAAGCCAACTTCACTAGAGGTAAGTCATGCCTGACTAATTTAGTGGCCTTCTATGACAAAGCTACAGCACTGGTTGACACAGGAAAAGCAACGGATGTCATTTTCCTGGACTTGTGCAAGGTGTTTGACACTGTCCCACATGACATCCTTGTCTCTAAAATGGAGAGACAGGGATTTGATGGATGGACCACTCAGTGGATAAAGAACTGGCTGGATGGTTGCACTCAAAGAGTTGTGGTCAATGGCTCGATGTCCACATGGAGACCAGTGACAAGCGGTGTTCCTCAGGGCGCTGTTCTGGGTCCAGTGTTGTTAACATCTTTGTCAGCGACATGAACGACAGCATTGAGTGCACCCTCAGTAAGTT